ATTTAAAAAAATAAATTTTCCCATACATACACTGTCTACCAAGCACAGTAACCCTATGCTGTCGTCATCTCAGCCCTTGACCTGCGGCATAGTGAGCTGTGTACAGTAAGTGCTCAGCAAATGTGAGGGGACCACATAGCTGCTCCCAAATGGCCTCTGGCACTGTGTGTAGGCAGCTGGGTCACTCATGGGCCCTGAAGTATTGTCTTTACCTCCCCAGGGCTTCCCTTCCTGCACCAACCTCCACTGCCAAGCCACAAGTGAAGAATTTGCTATTTCCTTTTCAATCTGTTCTCTGTTCAATTGAAAAAAAAACATAAAAATTAGTTCAGGCTGGTCTTGAACTCACTATGTAGTACAAGCTGGGCTTGAACTCACTGCAGTCCTCCTGCCTCAGCCTCCAGAGTGTTGGGATTGCAGGTGTGTGCCACCGTGCCCAGCTCCATTCTTATTATTGAGCACCTGCTGTTTACACAGTGCTGCGCAGGTGGCTTGGGGATGAAGATGTTTAGGTCATGGCTCCCATGTCCAGAAAGTCATGGAGACAAATACAGCACAGATACAAGATAAAGCAGAATGTGGTTCATGATGTGAAGGGCAGAGACCAAGGCGTTGTGCTGAGCTGGGCCGGGCAGACTTCAGGCAGAAGGTAGACCTGAGTGGGCTTGACAGGTGGGGAAGGTTTAAGGGCTCCAGCAGACTGTTGAACACCAGAGAGGGCATAGGTACCAAGCAGAGCAGAAACGACCAATCAGAATCCGCAGGGGGTGCTGTTCATTTTAACACACCCCTTACAACTTCCACAACATACCTGTAAGCCTACTGGGACATAGGAGGCTATGGCAGTGACCCCCATTATCCCAGCCATCTCCCTATTGATCCTGCTCAACCCTCACCCACTGAGTTCTCTTTAGAAACAGAGAAGCGTGGAGCTCAGGCTGCCCTTCGGGGCTGCTCGTATCTGTCCCCAGGGAGGAAGCAGGGCAAGAGAGCTGGTCTTCTACTGTGGTACACAGATCAAATGATCTCTCTGCTGTTCAGATTTATTTAAGCCAGCATATTTCTCCATAGGTTCGTTGTTCCTGGATCACCTTAGTCTGGACTTCTGTGTTTTGGGAGCTGTTTCCAGCAGCTCCATGAAATGGACAAGGCTATTCTAATAGATGAGGAAACCAAGCAGGGACAAAGGTCCCATGACCAGTCCACATTCACAAAGACGACAGACCCCTCCTAACCACCTAATAGCCATTGAGAAGGGTTTGATTTTTTTTGGCCTGAGATTTTCATGTCTTAGTTGTGTGTGTGTGTGTGTGTGTGTGTGTGTGTCGTTACTAAGTTCCATTTCTTTTCCCAAGCCTAAGTAGAGAGCTGATCTCTATTTCCCTAGTGGCTTTTCCAAATTATTGACATTGCAGAGAAGTGGGTGTGACTGTTAGTCTACATTTGGGTGCAGCCAGCATCCACACGGGTTCTGGCAAGAAGGCATTTCCTGAAGATGCCCTCTTGTGAATACATTTCAATATGCAATTAATGTAAAAATATCGAGGTACTTTAAAACCTTTTTCCGAGTAAGCCTTTGAAAGCTGGTGTCTGTTTTTTACTTATAGCACATCTCAGACTGAACTGGCTACATTTAACTATTTGAGCTATGCGCCGCTGGTGGCCACTAAACTGCCCAGCTGCAGTCTCTGCTTGCACCGGCAAGACCCTTGACCCCTTATTTAACCAAGGAACTCCTACTTGTCTTTAAAGGTTTGGCTAAGCCGTGCCTCTGTCAGGAAGCCTTCCCTGACACGGGCCAGCCGCGATGTCCGCGCTCAGCAGGGCTGACCCCGCTAGTCTCTCACCTTCCACGTGTCCTACCACTATTGGTTTTCCCACGGAGGAGGATTTACTGTAGTGCTAGTGAAGCCTAAGCCTCAGGGCCTATCTCTCCCCAAACACATCTCCCTTCCGAGCCTTGCATGTGATTTTGTAGCAATGCTTTTATATTCCTTTTCCTAATGAGTCTCGGTTCCCACAGAGCCTGGATCAACTCCAGCTCACCATTAAGGTGAGCTCCTTGACAGTGTGGCCTGAGCCTTGCTGATCACGGGACCCAGAGCTACCACGGGCCGGCGCGCTGCGTGGGAGGGGTGAAAATGAACGGACGCTGGGGTTCTCTAGTGCCAGTCCTGCACGATCTTGCTCTCAGCAGAGCCCTGTCAGCTGCTGGTGGTAATTATGGCAATTTGTTAAATGAGGTACAGATTTCTACCTCCAGGGCAGCCCTGTTTCCAAATTTAAGGCCAACTTGGATAACTACCTCCTGGACAATCCACTTGGCGGGGACCCAGGGACCCAGAATCAGCGTTCTGGAGTGACAGCTCCAGAGTCCCTAAACCTGTCCTTCTTGGGGACAGAACCAGCACACCCCTCCCTGTCACTTCTCCCAGAATCATCTCCAGACGCCTTTGTCTTCAAAACACCTCTCCGACGCACGCCTCGTGTACGTGAGCCCTTTGTGTATGTGTGTAGCAATACCCGCCCATCCCCTTTCAACTGCGGTTGAAGATTATTCAATGCGCATGCCCAGAAATAAATAGTTCGTAGGTTTTAACTTGGGCACGTGAAACATCGAGTGTGCCTGGGCCGTGTACGCTGCGCATGCGTAGCTGCTTGGCAGCTGTCTTGGGTACCAGACTGACTATCCCAGTAACACAGTACTGTGTGTGTGGCTCTGATTTTATCTTAAGTTGGCATCAAAGTACAAGATCGCTGAAGCTGGGGATTCGGATATGTCCAAGAGAAGCCGTAACGTGAATGCTGAACATACAGCCTGGCACCCACACTTTCAGGCATCCGCTGGGTCTTGGGATGAATCTGTGGCTGCTTGGGGACCAGTGTGTGTGGGCTGCTGAATGCTCAGGGCGGCTTCCTAACTGTCCTCCCTGCTTCTTCCTACGTCTTCATCCACGATGTGCTCTCCACACAGCATTTAGGGAGAGGCATTTTAAACAGGACTCTCGTTACATCATTCTCCTGGTGAGCATCAAATAAAATTCAACGCAGCAGTCTGACCCCAGCTCCACCCTCTCCCCCTGCTGCCCCGCCCCACTCTCCCCTGCTCCCAAACTGGCCTCCCTTCTTCCCTACACTGTGCCGAGCTCCTCCTGGCCCAGAGCCTTTGCAAATGCTGCTGTCTTCCGGGATTTCTCGCCCAGGTCTCTTCTCATTCTGCAGACCTGTTCTTGGGCAGCCTCTCCCCCGAAGGTCTCCCTTGCACTCCCTCACCACAGGGGGATCACTGTACAGCCAGGTTCTCTCACAGTCACACTTTTCCCTCAGAACACTTGTCACACTCTGAAGTTAGCCGGGCGTGGTGGCACACACCTGTGATCCCAGCTCTCAGGAGGCTGAGGCAGGACCAGCACTAAGATTTCAAGGCCAGCCTGTACTATATAGTGAGGCTCTGTCAAAAATAAATAAATAGGGCTGGTGAGATGGCTCAGTGGTCTAAAGCACCTACTTAGAACAAGCTTAGCAACGCACAGGGACCGCGGTTCAATCCCCCAGCACCACATGCCAGCCAGCCCCGCCCCCTGGTGGGCTGAGCTGGCCACACACACACACACACACACACACACACACATAAATAAATAAATAAATAAAATTTTTTAAATTAAAATAAATAAATAAATAACCATCTTAATTTGTTTTACTCCTCATTCATGTGGCTATTCATTCACACTAAAAACTTGTTTATTTGTTTGGTATTTCCAGTTGTTTTGGTTGATAATGTAGAAATCATGCTGCTTTTT